CGAGACGTTATGCCCACGCTGCTAAATGTTCTCTCGAGCAGCGACCAGAAAGTCGTCGAGCAGGGATGTCTTTGTGTGTCGCGAATTGTCGAAAGTTTCAAGTACAAGCCAGAGAAGTTGGAGGAACTGATTGAGCCCGAAATGCTGAGGGCTGTGCTCCGTCTGTTGTTGCCGGGAACGACAAACCTTATTGGACCTCACATTCATACCCAGTTCCTTCGCGTCCTGGCGATCACATCTAAAGCGAGTCCTCGGCTGTCCGTAGAGCTCCTCAAAATGCACGTGGTCGACACCATCTACCAAATTTTAACCGGTGTTTCGCCACCCGAGAACATTGAAGCCACGGGTGTCAGGATGGATAGCGTCTTGGTCATGCAGGCTCTTATTCACCGTCCAAGAGAACAGGTCTTCGAAACTCTCAATGTCATTTGCGAACTACTTCCTGAAGTTCCGCCGGGACGACATGGCGCTTCAGCAGATCGCATGCTGACTTCCTCCATCGAAGATAGTTCAGCTTTCGACGTTAAGCAACTTCAAGGACAGGAATCCGCAGAGAAAAGACGTTCCCTATTGATGGAATGCAAGGCTGAGCTCAAGCGTTTTGCCATGATCTTGTTGCCCACTCTCACAGACGCTTATTCTAGTACGGTCAATCTTGGAGTTCGGCAAAAGGTCCTCATCGCCCAGCTGAAAATGTTGCACAACCTGGATGCTGCGTTAATAGAGGAAGCCCTTCGCTCGGTTCCATATGCATCATACCTAGCTGCTATTCTTTCACAGAAAGATCATCCATCACTGGTTTCGTTGGCTCTACGATGCGCAGAACTCCTCTTCAGACGCCTCGAGCACGTGTATCGGTACCAGTTCCATCGGGAAGGCGTCATCTCGGAGATCTTCAAGCTGGCTGAAGCCCCCCTTTCCACTGATAAACATTCGAAGGAGTCCCGTGATACGCCCGGCACTGTTCCTATGGATCTCTCCAGTGATTCACCCCATGAGTCGAAATCTGTTGCATCAGAAGATGATGGTCATGATGAGAGTGGTCGTCATCCAGCTGACGACGAAGACAATGACCAGGATGATGATCGGGATGAGGAGAACGATGACATTTCTGACTCGGAAAGCTCGTCCTCCTTCTCCGGTCACTACAATACGACGAGAATGGAAGATGCTACCCAGGACCTTGTCATACGCGATGCGCGCGCATTTGTCGAGCTCTATGAAGCCAGCGAAGGCAAAGCTATGCGAGAGCGGGCTCAGCAGATTCTGGCTGAATTGCAAAGCCTCGCAGCAGATATAGAGGATTGCTATCTAGGCGACGGGGACGGCGAAGGGCTCCTACTTTTTAAGAAATTAGCCTCTTACTTTGACGGAGATGCGCTTGAAAGTATCACCAGTGCTGAGTTGCTCAATTCCGGAATCATCAAGGTGCTCTTGGATGTGTTTGGTGATCTACAATGTAAGCTTCCTGTTAACAATTCCCTGCGGCTATTGGCACGGTGACTGATGTTTTTCATGGGACAGCTTCCTCCATGCGTGACGCCCGTGCCGCGTTCCTGCAAGCCTTTATGGGTTCAATGATCTCGGAGAAAGCCCAGAGTCAAAGTACCGCCACAACCCCTTTCAGCGTTTTGATCCAGAAGCTACAAGATTTGCTTAGTCGAACTGAGCATTTTGAAGTCATCACCGTCAGTCACAACTCACTGGAAAATACACGTATCAACGCCACCCACATGCTAGGTAAGCAGCTCAGACTCAAGCTAGTGGCCGATGAAGATTCGGATATTCCTCGCCCCTACAGAAACATTATGGTCTCGATTCATGCTATTGCAACGTTCAAATCCTTGGATGATTTTCTCCATCCCAGGATAAGCCTTTCAGATCGTCCCAAGACCTCACGCAGCCGTGATACGATTCTTTCGCAGATCGCAAACGCGGCACGTCTCCGTGAACAGCTCGCTGGTGGGGGCGACTTCTCTAGCAGTGACCTGCCATCCCAATCGAGGCCGTCAGGGAGTACTGACCTGACGTCTCGTCGCGATGGATCAAAATCGCGTGACAAAAAGTCCCCTGTCGGACACCGTGATCTTGCATCAAAACCGAGACAAGGTGGGCGGCAGTCGAGTGCTCCGGAAGACGAATCAGAGCACGACGACGAGCCATTAGAATGTGCGGACGAGAGGCATTTGAGCGAGGACGAAGAAGACGAGGACGAGGACGGTGATGAGGAGCTCAATGCCATTGTCGACGACCTGGAAGATGACCTATCAGACGACAACCATCACGACCCCACTGCCGTGAACATGGAAGTGGCTTCTACAGGCAAGGTAACAGCTCGGAAGGAGGATGGAACTCGGGTGGCGACGCCGTCTCAGTCGACTCCCGCATCTAAGTCATCTTCATCCGCGGCAAATACAGGCGCGAATACCACAGGAACCAGCTCGCTAGCCACTGCTGGTCGGCCCTTCGCTTCTTACGCGGCCGCTATGACCTCCATCCCTCAAGACTGGCACATCGAGTTTAGCGTAGACGACAAGCCTGTCTCGAGTGACACCACAATCTACCGTGCTGTCCATCACAATCGTGAACACGCGGATGCTGGGGCAAGGAATGTGTGGTCTGCCATTCACACCGTCAAATTCAGGCGGGTTCCAGGACCGCCGCCCCCTGAGCCTTCGACCGTTGCGCCCGGCCTCGAAGAAGAATTGTCCGGCAACGGCGCTGAGATGCCATCCTCTCTGAGCAAAGATTCTACCACAGCGCCGATCCTACGGCTCCTTCGGTCTTTGCACGAGATGAATGTCACTTTAGATGACATACTTGCTGATACCAAGGAGCTTGTGGCACTAAAACCGGAGCCGCTGGCGCAATTCATCAACACCAAGCTCACTGCCAAGCTGAACCGTCAGCTGGAGGAACCGCTCATCGTGGCTAGCAGCTGCCTGCCTAGCTGGAGCGAAGATCTGGCACGGCTTTTCCCCTTCCTATTCCCCTTTGAGACCCGGCATCTATTCCTTCAGTCAACTGCTTTTGGCTACGCCCGAGCGATGATGAGATGGCAAAATTCCCAGAATGCGGATGACAGCCGGAGCGACCACCGACGTGACGACCGACCATTCCTGGGACGTCTCCAGCGACAAAAGGTACGGATCTCCAGAAGTCGCATCCTGGAGTCGGCCATGAAGGTCATGGAGCTGTACGGTTCTTCCCCCAGCGTTCTCGAGGTGGAATACTTCGAGGAAGTCGGAACGGGATTGGGCCCGACTCTTGAGTTTTACTCCACCGTCTCGAAGGAATTTTCCAAGAAGAAGCTCAAGATCTGGAGAGAAAACGACTGCCACAACGACGAAGAATTTGCCTTCGGCAAGCGTGGCTTGTTCCCGGCCCCCATGAGTGAGGAACAAGCCGCGTCGGAGTCCGGAAAGAAACAACTGAGTTTGTTCAAAACGCTTGGAAAGTTCGTTGCTCGTTCGATGCTCGACTCTAGGATCATCGATATCTCTTTCAACCCGGCCTTCTTCCGTATTGCCGACAGCTCCTCCTCGGTGGCTCCGTCTCTGGGGACAGTTAAAGCCGTCGATCAAGACCTTGCAAACTCTCTTCTGCTGCTGAAGCGCTTCGCGAACGCGAAGAGGGCAATTGACCGCGACCGGACTCTCTCGGCCGCAGCGAAGTCGCAAGCTCTGCAGAATGTCGAAATTGACGGCGTCAGAGTAGAGGATTTGAGTCTTGACTTCACTCTGCCTGGTTATCCTTCAATTGAACTAATCGATGACGGTTCCAACGTCCCTGTGACGATTGAAAATGTCGATAAGTACGTTGACCGAGTGGTCGACATGACACTGGGTAGCGGCGTGCAACGTCAAGTGGAAGCGTTCCGGACTGGGTTCTCGCAGGTCTTCCCGTACTCTGCGCTTCGGACTTTCACCCCCAACGAGCTCGTCATGCTGTTCGGAAGAGCGGAAGAAGATTGGACTATTGAGAGTAAGTTACCTTCCGTATTTGATAACCGAGAAGCTGTTTACTAACATCATTGACTTTAGCTCTCATGGACTCAATCAAGGCCGATCATGGATTTAATATGGACAGCAAGAGCGTTCGAAACTTACTACAGACAATGAGCGAGTTAGATACACAGCAACGGCGCGATTTCCTTCAATTTGTCACTGGCAGCCCGAAGCTTCCTATTGGAGGTAAATTGCATCTTCTTTGTTTTGAGCTGAACAATAATGACTAACTTTCTTTATCCTTTTTCAGGTTTCAAGAGTCTCACCCCTATCTTCACCGTTGTCTGTCGTCCGAGTGAACCTCCTTACACTCCCGATGACTACCTTCCCAGCGTCATGACGTGTGTGAACTACCTGAAACTGCCAGACTACAGCAGCCTGGAGGTTCTTCGAGAGCGGCTGTCCGTTGCTATTCGAGAGGGTCAGGGTGCCTTCCATCTGTCCTAGATTCAGTCACTGTCGATCATCCTCCTTTTGGCCTTTAAAACCCGTTCGCCTCCATGGCTCCTCCCGTGACATAGGGACATCACACAGTTAACATCATCTACAATCCAAAATCAACAAGAAAAAGCTAATGAAGCAATTGAAGAAAAAGAGAAGAGCGTTTTCGGTCAGCATATTGGTACGGTATCTAGTGACAGCATCATACCCCTTGGCGATGTATTCTCGTGACGACCGACGGGATCCATACTTTCTATTACTTCGCCTCTGTCGTCTTTGAATTTATCAAAGTTGCACTTGTTGTTTTCCGCTTGTTAATATTCCAGCTTGGTAAGGAGTCCAGAGGGTTCTCGGTTTCAGAAATATCAGCTAGATAGAAATGGAATTATCTGGTCTTGTGTTGATTTATTGTGGTCATTAAATTCTATTATGCTAATGCCAAGTCTATCTACTCTATCCTTATCTATAATTCTATTAATACGGAACCTTCTATCATTGACGGTGGGGAAAACAGGGGTGGGCGTAGGCTTTCGCAACCGGCGATGTGCAATTTCAGCCTCTGTACAAGGGGATCATGGACTAATTGGCTGAGTCAGTCTGGCAATCATGCATGTGGGAACTTATCGTCGCAACATACCTCTGCGAATTTCGGTTCTACGAACAAAGCCTTGCCCTCGGCGACCATAACCGGCTCACTCGTGTCGCCCACAGGCGGCAACGAGGTTAACGTCCCCTCGACCCACGCCTTCCGGCCTTCGACCTTGACCGTCTCCGCCCGAAGCACATAGAGTCGGTCCGGCAGCGCGGGTTTCCGGAAATCCACGTTCAGGTTAGCCGTCATGCCCAGCCCACTGCGAAACGAAGTCGAAACGCATCGCGCAAACGCCTCGTCGAACATCACCGTCAGCAGACCGCCGTGCACGAACCCCGGATGACCGCAGAGCTGCGCTCCGATATGGAATACCGACACCATGCGGCTGGTCGTCGCTCCTGCGGCGGTGCGCGGGTTCTTCGCCATCCAAACATAGGGCGGGACGGTGATCTTGCCTGGGCCAGAGTTGGGTCCTGCGACGAAGTGGTTAGGCCGGAGGCTGGGGTTCATTGCGAGATGGGGGCGGGATTCGATATAGGCAGGATCGCGGCGGAGGGCTTGTACGATGGGTGTCTGAGCGATTAGGTCGTCGATGGGATTGGTTACAGGGCGGGGACGTTGCGCCGCCGATGGTGTGTGATTCGGGAGAAATGAGGAGGAGCCATCGCCAACGGCGGAAGATGTGTGACTAGAGTGATGATCTTGAGCGACGGCTGATGCGCCCTGAATGCATCGTTGAGAGGAGCGGCATGTTGATACAGGAGCGCCGAGTCGAGTTGTTGGGCTGACCCTGCTCAGGCAGCGGGAGGGCCTTGCAAGCCACGACATGGCGGTTTTATGCCGGATTTATATCCTCAGTGATGCGTGCCTGTTTGGATCTTGAATAGAATACCAGGTCAGTAACCAGTTCGCGTACTTCCTTCATCGCAGCTTTCTTCAACAACTACCCCCCGGTCATCCGCAATCGGAGCAGGGATCATATCAACAAATGCAAGATAGATAAGACTCACCACGAGCTCGGAAAATGAGAGTCTAGTTCAGTATATAAGTGCTCTTTCGAAACTAAAACACCAGCAAAATGTAGCAAAGATCACAGAACCCCAAATTGAACGCAACACCAAGATCCGGAACCAGAATTTACAAAAAACTAGCTGCAAGACTCGGGCTCAGGCCGCGACCACCAGCCGAAAAGAAGTGCCGTCATCGGGATCAAATTTGCAGCAATTCTTGAAAAAGATTGGCGGATGAATCCCGAAAGTGGGTAAACTAACGGTTAAATCGAAAGAACGAGAACGCATTTTTCGGTATGTTGGGAGGTAACTTAGATAAGAAGATCGGCATGCCGAGAGTTTGGTTCTTGGTATCGGTTTGCCGAGGCGGGATTAGCGCCAATATATACTCCGTACATCTTGTATATAAACTAGCCTAGGAACATGAGGCTTTGGTGAGATAAGATGATGAACTTGGATCAATGTTTGCCAGGCTGTAGACTGATACTGTGTAGGTTATGAGAAAGTGAGATTAGGCTCATACTAATCGTCCTTCTAGTGCATTTGCAGCATATCTATAACAGTGTCAAGTATGAACTGAGAAGTAAGTGGTAGATAGGATAGTATTAACACAACTTGATGTAGACTCACATATGATTCATATAAACCTTACATGCTGGAAGCTGTATAAGAAGTATATATCCTTCTGCCAAGTGGGAATGCAAGTGAAAAGTGAGGGTATAAAGTTAGTGATTACTCTTTAAACCTTCATTAGTGCTCTGTAGCTTATAGAAGAGGTGAACAGGCTGGATTAACTGTCATTCAAGATATACAGGGAGAATGGTCAGAGTAAGTAGGCGAAAGCTTGAGAAGTACTGATATGCCAAAGCTATAAAGAATCCAGCTGGAATGCCTGAGAGTGCTCTCTATACTAGTAACCTTGATAAGATATGGACTGATTTAAAGACCAATAGAGTCACCTATTCCCATGTATTCTAACTGTCAAAGACAGAGCGCAAATAACACAAGAGGAGATCTCAAGTGATTGTGTTGTCTAGCTGGAAATCATGTGTTGATCTCAGTGAATGGCAAAACCTCTGCTCTCTGCTCAGTCTTCTCCCACCTTCTCTCACCTCGACACTTATTCTCACCTACCCCCTCTTCCCCTTCTTCATCCATCCTGGACCCCTCGAGCTTCTACTTCCTTTCTTCCATCCCCAAGTCTGTTATACACCTCAGTACCTATATCATCACCCAAGCATGGATGCCGCTAGTTCAGCAATAATTCTCGACATCTTACGCAAGGACATCAGAGATACCATGGACCGCAATAAGGGAAAACAGCCCGTTGGGAAATCAACAGACGAAGAACTCGCGCTTCAGCTGTGGGAAGAGGAACTAGACAATTACAACCGATCTCTCGAGGATGAACGACTTGCGAGAAGCATTGCTCGAGCTGTAGTCAATGACGGCGTCGCAGTTACACCAGCGCAACAAGAAGAGCTCCGCGCCTCCGACGATCATAGACTCGCTCTCGAACTGTCCGGACAACCTGTACCCGCACCACAGCCCAACGATCAATCAGGTACTGTCCATCTTCCTGAAGACAAAATGAAGGACTTCATGAATTTGACGCTTGCACATACCGATTTCGACTTCTTTGCCCCGAGAGTTGCTGGTCAGTACGCGGAAGCTGAGAGCGCCAGGAACCCTAAGCGTTGTTGCATCGCTGGCCCTTCCGATGAGGGACCCCTTTACGAGTGTGCCGTGTGCACAGAACTTGTTCCGTCGACAGATATCATCCCAGCTCCCTGCCACCATACGTACTGCAGAGTCTGTGCGGTAAGACTTTTTGAAGATTCTATGACAGACGAGACTCTGTTCCCGCCTCGTTGCTGCAGAAAGGAGATTCCACTTTCTCTTGTCAGTGGGTTCCTCGGTTTGGCCCAGAGCCAGCAATTCGAGGAGAAAGCCATCGAGTTCAGCGACCCGCATCGTACCTACTGTTCAAACCCCTCGTGCTCCAAGTACATCTTTCCGTATTCAGTGTCTTCCTATATCGGCACGTGCAGTCATTGCTCTTCCAGAACGTGCATGCGATGCAAGAAGCCCGCGCACGATGGCGACTGTCCCGACGAAGACGAAGAGCTCCTACAACTTGCCGAGCGCGAGGGTTGGCGGCGCTGCTTTCAGTGTCGCAACATGATCGAGCTTGGAACTGGCTGCAATCACATCACGTAAGTTTATCATTCATCTTGATGCGAAGTTCGACTCTAACAGTATATCGTTCAGCTGTCGCTGCGGTGCTGAATTCTGCTACACGTGCGGTACGAAATGGCGGCAGTGCCGATGCGAGCTGTGGGACGAGAACAGACTGGTTGACCGAGCCCGCTATCTCGTTGATCGCGGCAGGGACCCCGCTCAACCTGCTCAGCCGGCGAGACCAGAACAGGTGCAGCAGATGGTACAGCAGTTACTTGAACGACATAAATGCGATCATGAAGAGTTCTGGCCGCGAGTCCCAGGGGCTCATCAGTGCGAGGAATGCCGTGATCATCTTCCGAACTATATCTTGCAATGTGGACAGTGTGGGATTCGAGCTTGTCGGAGATGCAGGCTGAACCGGTTGTAAGGATTCGCGTTAGCATCGAGAGGAGTCTTGCTAGGATGACGATTACGATACTTTGTCTGTTTAATATCTGGTGGAAAATGGTGATATCGCAAAGGTGGAGAGAGGCTTATGATGGGTGCCGTGTTGCTTGTCGACGTATGCTACCACAGCGGTTCTTGAAGAACGCCCAATTATCGAGACTGAAATCAAATGCGATGATTCAAGGCAATTACTCCTTGGTGTGGTATATACATACAGCTTAAAAGTTCAGTGGATCGACCGGCCCCAGGAACGAAGTATTGCCTTCCCCACGGAGCAATGCATCGATATCCACACGCCCAGCAGTCAGATACCGCTCGCTAACGCCCACATTCACCCGCTGGGAAAGCAACTGCTTCAACTCCGCTCGCAACCCCGCCAGCTCGGCTTTACTGACACTCCCTACCTCCTTTTGCTTCTGCTGACGACCACGGCCGCGACCACGCCCTTTGCCGTTGGATTCGTCGAACTCCTCGCTGTCGTACTCAACGCCCAGGTCCTCCGCGGCATTGCGCAGCCAATTATCCTCTGCTGAGATCTTCTCCTTGGCTATATTAGCATCCGTGATGCGGCTGGCGAGGCTAACCCGGGGCTTGACGCGTGACACGACGCGACGGTCCAGCTCCAAAGATTCCAGCGGGAGCTTTTTGCCATTCGCCATGTTCGCATGCACCTTGGCAGCGAGACGGACGACACCGATCATCTCGTCGGGGCCGCAGATAATGACGCTCTTACCGGATGCGCCAGCACGAGCTGTACGACCGGAGCGGTGAACGTAGGCATCTGCTGTTCGGGGCGCATGGTAATGAATGACGAGGTCTATGCCTTTGATGTCGAGACCGCGGGCGGCTACATCGGTGGCTATTAGGATGGTACTGGGATCGGATGAGGGTGAAGAGAAACGTTCGACCGAGCGAAGTCGTGCCTTTTGGGCCATGGACGAATGAAGGGCAAGGGCTGGGAGTTGAAGAGTCTGAAGGAGTTTAGTGAGACGACGGACGGCAGAGATCGAATTGGTGAAGACGAGTGTCCGGTGTTTGGGATGGTATAGAAGTAGAGTATAGAGAAATAGATCCTGAAAGGTCATTAGTCCTAGACTCTACATTACTGAAGCTCAACGAAGACTTACTTTTTCCATGGCGCCACATTCAACAATTCCCTCTTTGAGGTTGTCGGCCATCTGCGAGACGGGGTTCATATCGATGAACTTGGGCTTTTCCTCCCGGAAGTTCAGCTTTTGCAGGAGGTAGTCCATGGATTCTTTCTTATCCATGACATCTCCTCCGGTCCACTTTCCTTTACCAGCCAACTTCTGTTGCAGATCACGGTGGAAGGTGGCGGAGAAAACCAATGTCTGTCTTTCAGAGCTAGGATCAGATTCCTCTTCCGATGCTTGATTCTCAGCATCTGGAACCTCGCCATCCTCGACGCGGTCCAGAGCGTTCAAAATCTCTTCAACCTCTTTGAAGTGACCCTCACTCAGAAGGCGATCGGCCTCGTCGACAACAAGGAATTTGATCTGCTGCATCTTCCGGATCAACCCTTGCCCAGTGCTCAAAATCTCCCACACTCGACCAGGTGTTCCGATCACGATATCAGCTCCGGACAGTAGACGTTGCTGCTTTTGAACCGAGAGTCCACCAGTCAAAAGCGCAATGCGTGCATTTATACCCGGAGCTTGGGCGATCAGCTCCCCGATATGCTTCGACAACTGATGAGCAAGTTCTCTGGTGGGTGACAGGATCAGAGCGATCGGAGTCGAGTCTTTTTCTGACTTCTTCCCCTTCTCTGCACTAACATCATCGCGTTTCTTCTCTAAGTAATGTTCAAGGATGGGAATACCGAATGCCAGCGTCTTTCCGGAACCCGTAGAAGCCTTTCCAATAACGTCATGTCCCTCTAATATCTGAGGTATGCAAGCCTCCTGCACTGATGTCGGAGAGGAGAATTTCATCTTGGACAGGCCAGTGAGTATCTCAGGAGAGAGACCCAGCGAGTCCCAAGCAGAGACATCGGCTCCATCATCTTCTTCCGTATCTTGAAGAGCGGCAAACGAAAGGCCGGCATTAATGCTCGTGTCGTGCTGAATTGCAGAGCCTTTCTCCTTCTGTCCCTTCTTCGCAGCTTTAGCTTCTTTCTTCTTTGCATCCTTGGCTTCCTTCTTCGCGGCATTCTTCTCGCTCTTCTTG